TATGTAGCAAAGCTGAAATGAGTTGTTGTTTTTTAGTTTGTTCAGCTTCTTTCTTATTATTTCATTTATGACATCAATTATTTAATTTATAGCATCACATGAACTATTGATATCCAGACACATGACAATTTAAAAAAATTATCAACATAAAAAGCTTCTCAAAACTCGAAATATTTTGATTATCATAATGGATCAAATGGATTTAGCATTTCTTTATTTCACAGTCAAGGTTTTAACTGGTTCCAAGTGATTCCAAAGTCCCATGATCGTCTGTTTTTTCCCTGTGGCAAAAAGTGATAACTTTTAAGCTCTTTACCTGCTGGACCATAAGCTGGAAGTCGTCTCTCTAATTTTTTATCATCCATTTTTAGTTGTTGGTAGGATATTATTATTATTATTATTATTATTATTATTAAGGGCTTTTGAGATTCATGCAGTCCGAGTTTGGAGATTAGAGATTAAAATATTTCAAGTAAACCGTTTGTTAAAAATCAAACTGGAAAATAAATTTACCTGTGTCTTTAGATAAGATTGCAAAGAAAATTGTTTCTACTTTAGGAATTTCCCTACTTAATTAAGTTCACAAAGTTTTTCTGACAATTTTCAGAGTTTCACTTGAAAACAAAAAGTACAGGTCTGAAACACAAAGCCCAAAAGAGAAAGAAAGAAAGAAACTCTAATTTATCTACAGTCATTCCCAAGCCTCAATTCTAAATCTAAGCTTCTTCAGCCTTCTGTAAGTATGGGCTACGGCATTTAGCTGTGAGTAAGAACAAATGAAGATCTTAAGCAATGACTCAAAACCTCCATGATCAGGCAAAGTACTTTTGATCATTGTATAAAAACTCTCCTTACTAATGCGTTGGTATAATGATGATTAACTCAGTTAACAAGTGTATTGAATTTGTCTAAAGACAGGTGGTCTAGTGGTTAAGATTCTGTGCTCTTACCACCCCGTCCCGGGTTCCCTTCCCTGTCAGGGAACCACACCACCTGTCTGTCAAGTGTCATACTGTGGTAGCTGTGAGTTGCTGTGATGGTGAAAGCTATGCCACTGGTATTTCAAATACCAGCAGGGTCACCCATGGTGGACAGGTTTCAGTAGAGCTTCCAGACTAAGACAGACTAGGAAGAAGGACCTGGCCAGCCACTGTGGAAAAAATTTTCCATGAAAACCCTATGAATAGCAGCAGAGCATTGTCTGTGCTGGAAGATGAGAGGAGGGCACAAAAAGACCAGGCAGGACTTCGCTCTGCTGTGCACAGGGTCACTAGGAGTCAGAATCTACTCGATGGCACTAACAGCAAAGCATTGACTGGTGCTCGTGATTTTATCCTCCTTTTTCAAAGCATAATAGTTAGTTATGGGGTGATAGAGTATTCATACTCTAAGCTACAGAAAGCAATGTGGTGAGGATTATAATTTAACTTGTGAGGAAATGTAAGTTAAGAAAATACTTACTAGAGATAGCACATTATTCTAAAATGAGTATGTTTGGAGTCAGAGAGATCTGGGGTGCAATCCTAGCTCTACCATTTGGACAAGTTACTTTACTTCTCTGAGACTAAGTCCCTCATCTGTAAAATAGGAAGTAAGAATCACTCTTGCAAGGTTACTGGAATCACATTGATGAGGATTATCTTAGGCTGGTTAATTTTAAAACTGCAGATGAGAAGCAGGCTCCGAGGAATGGAATTTGCTTGCCCTTTGATGAGAGACGTTTGCATTTGTGAAGGAAGTCTCCATGCCTCCCTCTCTGTGCCAGGAGGAAGTGGGGATGGCCTTATCTCTGGAAACTCTTAATGGGGAAGGCAAGGCTTAAGTTGTTTACTGTCTGGCAACCTCATGTAACTGACCCTCCCGCCCCCCAACATCTGCCTTTGTCTTTAGCTGAAGATAGTATTTAGGGTGGTGCCTTCTGGCCTTTACTTAATCCGATTTGATTCTTATCTAAAAGTTATGGGACCACCCAATAGCCAGACCCCACCTGCACTGATACCATTTTAACTTTTTTACATATTCTTTCCTTTGTCTTGTAAAGAGGTAACTCACATACCTATGCCTTAAATTTAGCTTTACTCTCCACCCATGTTTGCAGCAGTAGCTCCCCATGCCAGCAGCATCTCTGACTTCCCGTTGGTCCTGTCCCCACGCAGCAGCAGCTCTGACTGCCCATGGGTCCTGTCCCCATGCTATTCCACACTATTCTCTAAATAAAAGAGCAATACTGCCAGATCTTGAGAGTCCAAGAAATCTTTCTTTCGACTCCTCGGCTCACCAACCCCACATCAACATGAGACAACACTTGTAGGGTACTGTCATATGTAGTTGTGCACTATATGTTAGTCTCTGTTCCCTTCTGTTCCAATGCAATTAAGTGTATGAGTGCTGTTATTAATAGAGAACACAAGTGCCCACACAATGTGTGGGCCACATAGTGTTTTGGGTTATTTTAGTTTGAATTATTTGACAACACTTAAAATTTTTTCACATGAAATCTGGATTTCTGGCTTCTCCTGAAATTTACAATGTCTGGGACCTCCACGGGGCATCAGTCTGTTGGAGCTGAGTGGCCATTTTCCCCTTCCATTTCTCCAGTCTCCACCACTCCTTATTGTCGTACCCCTACTTTACTCACTTGCATGACCTGCCTGGCCCCGGTGAGACATTTGTGTTTGAGACATCTGATGAGAGTAAAAATGTGGTTAAAGCGTAATGTTAACTCAGAAAGGCTTGCTGAGGACACATGAGCCAGTTTTTGAAGAAGATTCATGGGCAAAGAGTATGTGCTTAATAGTTATGAGCTTAAAGCTGTGGATCTCTACCTGGACCTTTATTTGCTTTGAGCAGGCTCTCAGGAATCTTTACTGGGCTGCTTTTGTGCGTAAAGAAGATCAGCAGTAAAGTGTGTAGCTTGACATCACTGAAATTAGTTCACAGTGGAGGATTAGAAAGAGGAATATCTTTTCTAGTACAAGCTTAGCTTTTATTGATGCTCGTATCTCTCCCATTCACCACCAACAAAGCCAGAAGCATATTCACTGTCATTTCCTAACTGTGAGGATTAGAGGAATACAAGTAAGAACAGACAGAGAGGGAAGTCTGGTGAACCTGAATTTTTCATAGGTGGAACAAAAGAGAACACAGGCAGTTATCTGTGTAAATTGGTCTAAAGCAAATCAAAGAAATTCAGCAAAAAGGGGATGTTTTGCTTGAATTGTGGAGCTAATTACCCTCATTATCTCCGTCCTTTACTTCAGTATTGCTGGGAGGACCTGGCCTGAGAATGCTTTTCCATGAAGTGACAGATTCAGAAGTGGATAGAAAAAGTATTATTGTCATTGCAGCCGTGGAGCTTGAGCCTGATGTTGCCCGTGTCCAGAACACCTGTTGAGAAAGTCTGGGCCCAGACTCTGGTGCTCAGACTAACGTGGTTGGCTGGAAGAAGGGGCGCTGAGAAGATGATCATGGTCTGCATGCTGGTGAGGGAGGAATGCCGGCTCCCAGAGGAGCCACGGTGGCTTACTTTTCAAAATCTTTACAACTTTAACACAGTCATGGAAGTTATAGATGATTTTCAGTTTTCTGTTTAAAAATGAATCTTTTCTCAACAACTTTTAGCAATAAAAAGGGCAACTTATTGATGAAACCCATCTGTTTTCATAGTCTGCAATTATAAGATTATTATAACTACAGGCAAGAAAGCATTTGGATTATGTGGCATTTGGAAATGATAATAAAGATTATCCATATGGTCTAATGTCAGTGCCTTACATTGCATTAGCAATCACCTAACATGGGGGTGATTTTGATTATGTGGCTCATTTTAAATTCTGTGTGGTATGTCAATCAGAGTCAAGATGGTTTACTGGAAATAATTGCCATTTTCTTTCATAAATGTGGCTGGGTGCATAGGCAGAAAAAGAATAATTTAGGGCGTGATATTTTTGGTATTACGGTGCTATGGTCTTAAACCATCTCACTTTATACTTTCTTCTTAAGCTTCTCTCATTCTATTCTTGTCTGTCTCGGGTGCATAAAACAACCTCCAGTAGTAAAAGCTATAAAAATTTGTTTCATCTGTTTATTTATATGTCAGTTTCTTTTAGGTTTTCGTGGCTTTTGTTCAGGTATCTGTAACTTCAAATTATAAGCTTTTGGTGGTCAATGAGCAGGGTGCACAGGCCAGGATTGAACTGTCTCCAAAGAATTGGAAATCTCTGCCTTCCTTGACCTTTTTGCATTCTCTTCTACTGAGGGAGGGAACATAAGGGCTTACTCCTCTGCTGAACTTTCTAAGGAAGCCAACAAGATGACATTTTTTTACCCTCTGCTCTGTTAACCAGCCTAGATGGGGAACTTATTTGGGTTCATTTGGGATTTGGTCCAGTGTCATCACCATCTGAGAGTTCAGGATATGCCCTCAGTGATCCTGAGGTGTGAGTTTCTTGTGCTGTGTAGGCTGTGTCACAGCCTGCTCCCTGTATGCACGCCCTCCACTTAGACTGTCTTTACACCTCGCTTAGTTTTGCTCTTTAGTTCTACCATATGCCCCTTAGATTGATCCTTGGATTATTTCAGTTTTGTTTGGAAAATATTTCCTAGGGAGATCTACTCTTTGACATTGAATATGGCAATGTAGATAATAATTTAGTAAAAAGTTAATAACTCTGGAAACATCAGTAAATTATGATTGCATTGTACTAGGGTCATTGGTCGTTTTAATTTAGCTTATAGTAGGAGAAGCAGAAAGTAATGTTTTAGTCTGTACACTCCTAATATCACTGTGGGTGTGTTTTGAGGATAGGCAGTGGATGTTTTTCATCTCTGTGTCTCTGCAGTTGGCAGAGAGCCTGACATCTGGAAGGCACCATAAATCAACGTTTTGGATGAATATAATTAATTTGACAAAAATTATTCCTCATCATTGGTCAGTACACATGTTAATGCCCCATTTTCCATTCACATGCAGGTCTATATAATGAACTCTTTGTCCTCAGGGAAGGAGCCGAAGAGTGGAAGACGACATTGAGCAGCATCCGACAGGAGATGACCATGATAGTGGACTCGACGGACAAGAGCTATGTCGAGCAAGGTGCAAACTGTGGCTAGACGTTCTGGTTCATGGACACGCACAATCTGAATGGCAGAGGTAAGTGCTGCCCACGTTTCTTGGCTTCTAATACATCTCTCTGGTTTTCCAGGGTTCCAGATAGTACTGGGGGATCAAAAAACAACTCCCTAAGGAATTCTTATGCCCTATTGGTTTCTCCTGTCCTTTGAACGATCCTGAAATCTTCTCTAATGTGCCACAGGTTGCTTAGGAGAGATGATGTTGTGAAGATGATAGGGACAGATCAGAGAGCACAGGAAGCCACAATTAAGTTTTTGTAAAGACGAGAGCAGTGACACGAAGGCTTCTCTCTCTCAACGAGGAAAGCAGCTGCACTCATCATCCTTTTTGTTGTTTAGAGCCTTTTTGTAAGCTAGCCAGCTGTGGGATTACACAAGGGAAGCCTGTTACAAAACAGTTCACTAAATAGCAATAACAAGTTAATTGTTAGTTTGTTTAGCTGACTGGTTCTGCCTTTATTATAGGCCTGTTAGTGTCAATTAATAAGTTAAACTGTATTTCCACTTCACAAGTCTTACATTTCCTACAGGTGGGTCAGCCGAGCTCAGCTAATACCTTCCCACACCAGCATCTGTGATCCAGATACAAGGCATTTTAGGACGCTGAGAATTAGGTTGCTTATATGAAGTACAAAAGGAGTGGGGAGTATGTGCCTGGTGATCTCAGGGACCCAAAGTAAATGCTGTGATGTGTGCCTGACTGTGGTTCACAGCTCTTCTGGCTTCAAGGTCAGAGGTTTCTTTACCACGTGAAATCCATGTCCACAAGCTTCCGCTTACCCTGGCCGCATAATCAAGATCTTGGTCAGCGTGGGGATGGAATAAAAGTGCAGTTACTAATACAAGTGCACAAGGGCTAGGGGCCTCATGACTGCAAGGAGCACAGAATTCTGGCCCCTGGGGGAAGAGGGCTGATAGCAGACAGGCTGATAGCTGGACAGCGTGTCCTCATGTGCTGACCATCCATTTGGCTTGTTCTGGTTCCGCAGCTCTGCCCCTCCACTCCTCATCTTTCCAGTCACCGCATGGTCGGTGCCCGTGCCTTCTGCTGTGCCTTGCCTTTCCCCTACATTCAGCTAGACTTCCTAGAAAGGCTTATTCTTTCTGCTTGGAGTGGCTACCGCTGTCCGCCTTATCCCACTTAGAGGCTCTACGTTTATTTCTTCTACATGCACACCTGGCCTGTTAGAGGGGGAGTTCAGCAGACACAGCTTTAACTCTGGGGGGCAGGATGGCACTCCTCATCCTTGGTCATTCCTCTTTGCCCTTTCATGTCATTTTCAGTGTAGATGACAGAATCTGGTACTTCAGTATACCACAAACAACATCCCATTTTGTCATCGAATTTTCTTTGCTTTTTTGTGGCAAGTATTATATTTTCCATTGAAAAAAAATATATATATATAATGCATTTAACTTCCAAAATAAGCAACTTAGGATGCATTTCTTGTGGGCTGCAGTGGGAGAAGTTCTTCCCACCACAGACACGGTTAGAATTTTTGTAGTGGTAAGTATTTCTTTCTTCTTTTTTTTTTTTTGAAAGAGATTGGCCCTAAGCTAACATCCATGCCCATTTTCCTCTACTTTCTACTTTTTTTTTCTTCTTCTCCCTGAAGCCCCCCAGTACATAGCTGTATATTCTAGTTGTAGATCCTTCTAATTGAGCTGTGGGGTACACCGCTTCAGCATGGCCTGACAAGCAGTGCTAGGTCCATGCCTGGGACCCGAACCTGCAAACCTCGGGCCACCCAAGTGGAGTGTGCAAACTTAACCCACTGTGTCACTGGGCTGGCCCCCAGTGGTAATTATTTCTTGAACATCAGTCTGAAAGGGACCACACAGATATGTGTTCTCACTTTCCAGGATAACCCTTTAATGTTCCAAATTTTCTATTTCATGATGAAATTCCTCACAAATAAATTTATTTGGAATTACCTGTCCAGAGAGCAGAAACTGTCTACATTAGTGGTTTCTAGGCTTTTGAAGTTTGACCAACAGGAAATATTTGCCTCTGGACAGGAAATTTAATTTGGCAGTTGCTTTTTAAAAAGTGAATGTATCTGTGGAAATCCACAAATGCTCATGCAAAGAGGACGGCTGCAGAAGCTGGCGCCAGCTTCTCTGGCTCGTCTGCCATTGGGCATTATTGTGTGCCTCCCGTCAGTAAAGCCAATGGAAAAAACACAGCAGTAGGCGTTCCATTTTCCTCCCACTCTGGAGCAGTGGGTAGGTCTCATCGAATCCCATCCATCAGGAGTGACCCACCGGTAAGCTTGGCATTATACTCTCTTAATGTCTTGAAAATAATCGAGCAGTTACTGGGGGAGGAAACTTGCAGGAAAAGTGTTCATTAGACCACTAGGCTTCCCGTCCCAAACCTGTTATAAGTCTGGGGATGTTTGAGATCTTTTAGGGTTGGGAGAAAGTGTGGGCAGTTGGGAGATGAGTAGCTTTTAGAAATAATACAGCAGGAAAAAGAGATTGGAGAATTTAGGAATAAGAATGAGCATATTTGTGAGGGGGAGGGCATCATCTGTCCACCAAAGCAAATGGGAGTTGTGCACAAAAAGGGGAAAAGTAGATACGTATAGGGGATGGGCTTAATTTTTATAGTAAAAGAAGTAAATACCTTTTGTTTAAAGGTGAAAGTAAACATAGTTATTTTGTATGTGCTTTGCACATTTTAGCAACCACATGAAAATGTCTGCCGGTAACATTACATTATTCTCGCTGACCCTAGATTGTTTTATAGGGACTCAGATTTTTCGTTCATCAGTTGATCAATTGATTTTATTTTTATCAAGTGATCTCTTTTTTCCTGGCAGCTTACCATAAACATGCATTATAAATATGATACTTGTCTATTTTAGAAAAAGATTTTATAAATGACAGGCAGCCCAGATTCTGGTTCTTGTTCTGTCGTTTGCTAATCCTACACTTTAAAAATATAAACTCAGGTAAAAACACTGTCATAAAGGAACTGATTCAGGAGAGCTAAAATATATTAACATGTCATCAGAATAAAAATAACATAGGATATCCACAGGGATTTGGTAATAGTTCCCATAATACAGTGATATAATTGGATATTAGTGTCCTGATCAGGAACTCAGCATCTAATAAATCATATATCTACCTCAGAGGAGTTAAGATTTGGACTTACATTTAACCAGCTTGAGCACTTGAGCACATTCAAATCATTTATCCTTACAGTTTAATGAAATGAAAGTGTTTTTAAAGCACTATTCAATTAAGATATTGAAGAGAGTTTTTTAACAAACTATTTTAAAAATTGGGAATACTCACTTTACATGGAATCAGATAAATTGGATGGGATTGACTTTCCTTTTTAATAACAAGGAAGAAAAGAAGATGTAATAGTTAAATCTGGAGTGTTTCAGAGAAATATTTCAAAGAAAAATGAGCATTTTTATAAGGATTGTAAAAACTAATAGAACAATATATAGGCATGCTGCTTTCACTTTAAACATAGCACACATGAAACATAGACCAGGTCATAGCATTGTGGAAAGTTCTGTGAATGTCCAAAATATGAGGAAGCTGGGGATTTAATTTAGCAAACTACAAAAACATTAACATTCAGAATATTCTTCAAAAGCCATGTGTGAAGAGTGTGAGCCCTTCTCATACTCTTAGTTGTAAAAGATCAGCTCAGTGTGATACTAGACTTTTATAAGCAAAGGCTAGAAGTCTAATGAATTTCTTCATTAAAAATAGTGGCTGTAGTTATGGGTTTTTTTCCTTCCTTCATGAGGTAAGAATATCTTTTTTAAGTGATAAAAGGGTGCTTGTCCTCTAAAGTACAAGAATTCCCCGCAGACAGCAGGGAATGGTAATATTTACCACATAGACTTCGATACCTCTCTGCTGTTTCTTCAGTCAGGTCTACACCAGCATGGTGTCCGTGTGAGTGATCTCAGAGTGCCGTATTTTCAGGAATTACCTCTCCACAGTCGCTGACTAGCTTTTCTCTTGTTTACAGCTGTGTCTTCACCATCGTCCTTTACATTGCAGACAAATACACTGAGCACATCGGTGCCTAATTCCTATTACCAGATAACAGATTTTTCCATTGTTTTATCTCTTCATAACCCCTGAACAGTCAGAATCAATCCGTGCTCACTTTGCTGCCCTTGAGCTTAACGTGTTGGATGTGTTGTAACCTGATGCTGTCTGTGGCTTTCTAAGGGAAAATCGGGAGGCCTTTCGTCAGTCATTTATAGTTCTTTCTCTCTTTACTTTCTCTGCATTGACCGGCTTGTGATGTATGACAGACCCATTTGTGCCAACTGCAGTTTTAGGTGAGAACATTTCCCTTGATCACAGTTTATTACAGGAGCAATTTAGAAAGTCAGGGGCTACTCTGTAGGAGACTGGAGTTTTATTCTCTATGGTACAGTGATTGTAAGCAGGACATGGGGGTGGTGGGGGGCATAAATAATAAAAAGACTTTTCTCCAAACAGTCTCCATTGATAAGAAGAGTTTGTCACATGTATGTTGGAAATGATACCAAAAGATTCAAATGAACAGTCCCAGTTCTAGTATTCTCCTTTTCTATGCACAGAATTTAAAGTCAGATCTGATGTCAGGGAAAAGCACAGTATGTCATCCCTCAGCTGTGTACTGCCAGGAGCTGAATTCTGTCCATGTGACAGCCGTAAATGTGAAAATATCTTATTATTTTCATTTATTGCTAAGCACTAAAAACTTCAATTTCAAAAATAGCAGATTTCTGATTATGCCACATGTTATGCAACAAAGTTATCACAATAGAGTTTTGGCCTCCTAACCCTCCTCGGAGCCACTCAGGGCACCTGCAGCATTCCAAAGTGTCTGTCACACAGTCGAATTTCGAAGGAGCTGATGTTCTCAACAGCGAAATGAGAAGATGCACTTTATAATCACATGGTTTATTATGTGTCAGATGTCACTAGAAATGAAATAAAAGGTTAGCCCATTGCGGCAGAATGCATTGAAAATATGAAACGTTCCCAGTGGGGAGTTAAAGAAAGCAATCTTATTTGTCCACTGTAGAAAGGGTGAGGAGAAATGGCGTTACCTGGCTTTGATAACCAAAGAAGCGTGACTTCTTGTAGCATGTGAGATGCATAAACAACCTGACTGTGTTCTCTTTCTCCTGCTAACTTTGCTGAAAAGGAGCACAACATAAACAGCTTCAAGGTATATAACAATTCATCGTAGAGAGAATTCCATCCTCAGCTCTTCTGCTTCCTAATTCTCTCTACAAGAGTTTACAGGCGCACCTCTTTTTATTGCACTTCACAGATATTGTGTTTTTTCGAGTCCCTCCACCAGCAAAAGGGTTTTGACTCACTGAAGGCTCAGATGATGGTTAGCATTTTTTAACAATAAAGTATTTTTAAATTAAGGTATGTACGTTATTTCTTTAGACATAATGCTATTGCACATTTACTAGGCTACAGGATAGCGTAAACATAACTTTATATACACTGGGAAGCCAAAAAGTTTGTGTGACTGGCTTTATTGCGATTGCAGTGCTCTGAAAATGGACCTGCACTATCTCCTAGATATATCTGTATATCTTTGCAACATTATTTTCCCCCTCGTGCTTCTCTTTTTTCTACGTTGTTATCATTTTTTGCATAGAGGGTGGTTTTTTGTCCTTAGGATGTTTTCTGGGCTTATGCAAGTTTGTTGCCTGTGGAAAAAATAAACTCAGGAGTTTAAGAAAGGACATAAACCATAATTTTTGAATTTGCATCATTTTGAGGGCTAACAAACAAAGCTCACTAAAGCTCCCCTGCCTTTAATACCAACTATAAGGAATAGAAGCCTGCATTTTTATTCTTTTTATAAGTGAGAGGTCCCCGGACAATGCAGTCTCCATGCAGATGACGTTTGCGGAAGCTTTTGATAGGCAAAGATTTGCAATTTCTTTGTGTGCTGTGGCATTTGTTCTGCAGTTCGTCTGGTAGATGTTCTGACCTTGTGGGGGCTGTGAGTTGGGAGGGCTAAGATGTCTGTTGTCAGAGGGAAGAAAATGTTCATATTTCACAGCAGGATTAAGATAAGCTTATTAAACAAATATCACTTTTTAAAGTCGCTGCTTTGTTATTATGAACACTAATGACATCTTTTAAAGTTGCTCAGGCTTCTTTACCGAGAGAGAATCACTTGAACAGACAATTCAAGTAGCAAAAATTACGCATATTTTGAAAAATAAGTCAGATTGACAAATAACGGTTATCATGTCTAGCTTATATATGTACCAAGGTAACAAATGGCAGTGCTCGAGGACTGTTCCTTCTACACTGTTAGGTGCAAATATGAATCTATATATTGCATTTTGAGGATTATCACTTGAAACCATGGAAAAACGATAAGCTGTGCCTCCACTCTGGGCCTTTTTGAGAAGAGTACTATTATAATTTATCTTAAGACAAGACGAAACTTTCTGTTGTGACTCAGAGCTCGGCACTTAAATCCTCTAGCACCTCGACCTTTTAGTCTCATGTGCTTCGGTGCCCAGCCCTAATGTATAGAACTTTAGGATGCCTTTCCATCATTTTCTGGCAAAAAAAAAAAATTGTAGAGAGAGAGATCGGTAGAACCACCCTTACCTCAAAAACATAGCACTCATTTCAATTCTAGATTTTCTAGCTGGTTTGTTGAAAATTCAAGATACTTTATTAAGAATATGGGTAGAATTAATTCCTTTCTTAGAAAACCATAAGAACTGTTAGAGGCTTTCCTTCTGGTTTCCTGAATAATTTTTAACAAATAGAGAAAATTAATGACAAATGATATATTTTATCAGTAATAATTCTTTCTTAAGAAGTCAGAAGAAACTGATTAATCACTAATTTTGGTGGAATCCGGAATTTCTAATAGTGTAGATGACCCAATTTCATAACACACATCGCACGAAAAACCTTCTATTGCCTCTTCTATATCCAGGTACTAAGTAGTTGTCTTCTTTTCTTAGATGACCTTGGTAGTTTTTAAACGCTTTAAGACGTGTCTGTGCCAATAATGAGGCTGAGATGTCATAACGCCGTGGGGGAAGTTACAGGATGATACCTCAGTGGTTCCAAACCACTGCAATAAAGCGAATATCGCAATAAAGCCAGTCACACAAACTTTTTGGTTTCCCAGTGTATATAAAGTTATGTTTACACTATACTGTAGTCTGTTAAATGTGCAATAGCATTATGTCTTAAAAAAACAAGGTACACACCTTAATTAAAACATGTTTTATTACTTAAAAGTACTAATCATCATCTGAGCCTTCAGTGAGTTGTAATCTTTTTGCTGGTGAAGGGTATTGTAAAAAATGTGGTATATGCAAAGTGCAATAAAGTGAAGCACAATAAAATGAGGAATGCCTGTACATACAGTGGTGATGGTGGTTGCAGCTCTGTGGAGTTAAATCTTCCAAGAACGCCTAGTCCTAGGATCAGAGCACTGCTAGGTTGTGGTATATCCACTTGAAAGGCCCAAATGATTCATTTAGGGAAAGTTTAGAAGATGAGTCCACAATGGAGGGCATTTAATTATGTGTATCCCAAAAGGTACAAAACTGAGAGAATGAGTGAGGCACGGGGGAAACCAGTTGATGTTGCATTTATTTTCGTGTAAAGAACAGAACTTCCTGCTGGAGTAGCTGAAAGGTCAACAGACTGAGTACTTCAGCAGGGATCCCATATCTCACTTTATGAACTTAGCATTTGCCAGTAAGCAAATCTGATGTGAAAATTTCCCAGTTTATTTGTGACTATTCTAATAAAGTGAGAATATATGAATTGCTAAATTGGATTCATAGGAAATCCAAAAGAAAAAAGAATCATAAAATCCAGTTACGACCCTTTTTTATTTTGTCTTTGTGTCTTTAGCCATCTTGTAGTGATCCAGATGCCATTTCAGCAACATAAAGTCATACTTGTGTACCACCTTCCATACCGTGCATCCCCAGGTGCTCTGTGATGCAGATAGAAGGGAGGTTTCAGAACTAGGCCCAGCTTACCAAATGCATTTGAACTAAATTTCTTTTGGAGCTGAACTTCTCAGTTTATAAACAAAAACAAACCTATAGCTGAATTCCCTATTGATAAACAATCTGGTAATTAAAAACAAAATTGAATGTATTCTTTCTTATATATTTTAGTTCTTTATACCTGAAATCAGTTTTGATTTAATATTCTCATTTTAGGTGACTTAAGCATTTTATTTTGATGAGACACATCCTCAATCACAAAATGGCTAAAAGGATTCAGAATTTTAATGAGTTAACCTGTAGAATGTGGAACTCTTAATCTGATAGCACTTCCCTGCATAAGACATTTTTTAATAGCTACAATTTACTAGTAGTCTTCTGTTAAAATACAGCCTCTTTAGGCTTATTTGACCAAATTTTGACATTAATTTTGTACTATAATTTGGCTGATTTTTCAGGGAATGTAAATGAGAAAAAGTTGTCAAAGACAGGTAAGACTTATTTAGTCATTACATGATTCACGGGGGTTGAAAAGCAATTATGATACTATTTTAACCTCCTTTTTGTTATTGAGTGCTTAAACACCTCCATCCTGACATGAGAGAATTGAGGCTTTGCCCTCTGACCACCTATGAATAGAAAACTAAAATTAAAGCAGAAAATAAAAACAACCTGGAATTGTTCATGCAGTTCTCTTGCTTATGCCGTTTCCTTTTTCTCCTCCTCTTTTCTTCTGATATGTATCTTCCTAAAAGTGCCAATAAATGGTAAGTTCCCCCATTTGCCCCATGGAAAAGGTGTGGAGGGAATCGGGGTGTGTGTCTTATCTGTAGATTCTGACAAAGCCAGCTGGTTCTGCCCTGTGTTGGCCTGCATGTTAGCTCTTGTAGAACATTCCATGCATGAAGTGTGGATCAGCTCTGCAATATTTTGTAAACATTCTGATCCTGGAGCGTGCACAGTGACTCATCAATCTAAGTTCCCTTTTCTTTTTCCGCTTTTCTTGGTTTCGTGTATCAAGTCCACATTTTCATTGCTGGCTATAAGCCAAACCGCTTTGTCTACTTTTATTTTGCTCACACAACATTTGTACAGAGTTTATTTACTTCATCATACAAACCAGTTAACGAATTTGGAAGAATACACGACTGGTTTTTTTATCAGGCCTTGATGAAGTTTCAGACTGAAACTTCTATAAACGTTAGCACCCAAAAGCTAGAGGATTCTTACTACATAGTTTTGTGAAAGCAATGTATCGTTTAGACTGCTTTGTACAAACAAAGCTTTCTGCCTCATTCCTATCGGTATTGCCAGTTTCATTTAAATTTGTAAACATTTTACTTTTCCTCTTTGCTGAGCCATCGTAAGGATTATTACAGCCATAGGTTGAGGGGATGTCAGCAGCAGCTTCTTAGCATTCTCAGTGACCCTGATGTATCCCGTTAGTTCTCCCTCACTTTCTCTCTACCTTCTTTTCCTAGATGAAACCCACAAGATGGCCACTGAGACCAGCAGTTTGGTGCATTCCCACACTTAGAAGAAGCACGAGCCGGCTGACGTGCGCTGACAGACCGGGAAGCTTCACCCCACCATCTAGGTGGCAGACCGGCGTCAACATCACACAGATGAACTGCGTAGGGGGCTGCAGCTTGAAGGAGGGATATGAAGTGAGCATGAGCTTCAGGCCAGGGCTCCTTCTCAGCCCTCCGGGGCCTGATGCCAGGGACTGTGCTCCCTGCTTATTCAGCCAGCAGTGGGACCGCATGAGGGCTGCCAGGAAAGGACCAGATATTTCATCCATGGATCCATTTCCTTCGGGCTGTGAGGCTTATTACCTGGAAGCTAAAGTATGTTAAATGGAACAAGGAGGACCACTTCACCTTTTCTGTTATTTGGTATAAATAGGCAGCGAAAACAGAGGCTTACTACGAGGCTCTCTTTCCCATTCTTGATCACCTGTCTTGGCTTTCCTATAATTATGATTTTAAATTCTAATAATTTTGTGGTAATTACCTCAGGAAGAAACTGTCCACTTAAAACAATTTTAGACCAACCAGTGATGTCATGTGGTAGAGATGAGACAGCAGTAAAGGGACTGGCTAGTGTCATGGCTATGGCAGTTATTGTCCTGCCAGCCCAGAGAGCGTGTTGCTGTGCTGGGATCTAGCACGGACCCCTTTCAGGGGCATTTCCAGGAGCAGTGATGTTCTCTCACCATATTTAAAATGGAGGGCCCACCCCTTTCACAGCCTCTATCATTTGCTAATTCTGTTGGAAAGTCATTCAAGAAATGAAGAGAATTAATTGATTTAAAGAAGTCTGATTCAAAGAAGCACACCAGTACCTGAGTATGTGTGTCTAGTGTGTGTGTGAGAGAGTGAGGGGGGGGGGGGGGGCGGGGGGGGGGGGGGGGGAGTGGGAAGGAGATTGGATTTCTTTTCTTTTTACCTTATTAAAATTAGTTCACAGTCATTGGTGAAGATAAAGTAGCATGCTTACAGTAAAAATAGGGTTATACAGATATGTGGTTTTTTAAGTCTTAGAAGGTGTTTCTGGTCCTGTATCTACCTAGTAACTAGCTCACAGCTGGGAAACATCTTGTCTGGAATTAGAGGTGTTTTGAAATCGTTCCTACCACCTCCATATCCTGCGAATTTCAAACTCTACTTCCTTCTCCTCTTGGGTGCACACCCGTGATACTTCATCTTGTGTCCCAGATGCTGCATTGTCTTGGATTTAGCTCCTTCTCTGAGCTTATTTGCCAAAGATTTGTTATGGCAGGCAGAGCCATGCCTCTTCTTTTCAGACGAGGTCTTTGATTCAACATAGACAAATAGACACACTTTGTTGAGCTGATATGTGCGTCCTTGTATGTTGCCAGTGAGCTTAATTCAGAAGACAGCAAAGCCAAGGAAGCTCAAACCAGGCCCCAAGGGTTTGATTTAAGTCCAGAAAATACTTTCAGATGAAGTTCTTCATTTTAGCAATGCTGAGAATCTTAGATTTACCTTTAGCAGTTTAATGTATGCATCAGTGAAATTGACTGCCTCTGTGTATTTCCTCATCCACTTTTAAAGGTGAGTTTAGGAATTAATAGGATTAAGAGTAAGACTTCCAAAAGCATTAATATCTTATGAAAAACAAAATCAGTTTATTGAGAAAATATAAGCCTAATGAATAGAGGTGATATTATAGTTCTAGCCAATATTCTGAATCTGGATATTGCTCAAATGTTTATTAAAAATGTTAATGTCGAAGAGATTAGTTATAGGCTCAACTAACAATTCATTAAATAACCTGAGTCCAATTTTTATGGACTATTTAAAAATACCTACCTTGAGACTTCCTGTAACTCACAATAGATGATGTGTATTTGGAAGTATGCAAAAAAATTGATAGGGTGGCGTGCTGGAGCTGGCTCTTCTGGCTCACGAGAGCCTATTGTGCACACCTCTTTCCAGCTCCCCATTCAGTGACGTCATATTGGGAGTTTGCAATTGGCTGTGCTGGAAGTATTTATATCATAGAAATTAACAGATGCTAGAAAGCAGAACTTTTTCTGTTCTCTGAAGATCCTGGTTTACCAGTACACAACTGGGAACAAACCTGTAATTGACTGAAGAATTCATTCGATCTGGGGGAAATGAGGACTCTAAATAGCAATCTGTTAGATTTTAATAGGAAAGTAGTTGTTATTCTTTGCATGCATCCTTTGCATTCTTTGTTGCATCTGCCCAATTACAGTGAGGGTTGCAAGGCTTCACCCTATGCCTTCCCTGTGTTGTTTAGGAGTTCAGTGGCTGAGCATGGTAGTTGAGGAGGAGGGTGGCTAGAAAGAACACTTTTGGAAAGCCCTTTTGAAGGTTAATTTTTGGTTAAAATAAATACTTTCTGTATTTATTTTTGCATGCATGATGTTGGCGATTGTAATTTATTTTTTGTTTTTTCATGCTGGGAATTGTCTTAGGTGGGATTCCCCAGAAGCAGACCCCAAGACAGAGATTTGTATGCAAGTCATTTTTTAAGAAAGTTTTCCCAGGAGAAGCTGGTTAGAGAGTAAGAGAAGCAAGTAGGAAGGAGCCAAGCCAGGTGGGATTTCAGGTGACTTCTTAGCTTCACCCTAATCCATTGGGGAGCCCTGGGGCCTAAGTTATATGGCGGTCTTGGTCCTGCCTCACTGCATGGCAGGCTTTCCCGCACTTCAGTGATCAGCCACTGGCTATGGGCTGCTCAGGGGGCCATAAACTCCCAGGTCCCTCCAGCTCTCTGCACATCTAGTTGAAGCAGCTCCAGTAGCCCAGAGATAGTCTTCTGAAGAAGACTGCACACAGAGATGGGCCAAAGGACCTTGGCCAACAGAAGTCCATGTGAGCCTGGCAGGGGAAAGTGTGGACATCCAGGACAGAGCTTGGCTACATAGCAGCCCCCAGTTCTGACTGTGCAAAATTTGAAATGACAGATTGCTGGACATTGAGTCCAGATGTCACAGCCTTGGTGTTGAAGCAGAAGGGGATAGCAGACCCAGGACTAGACTTCAGAGAAATCTTATGGATGGTCACCCTAGCTGGAACAATGCTCCATAGCACTATATTCTTTTTAAGAAGCAGGTTTTGTGTGATGCTGAGCTTTTGACACAGTGTTTAAGTGTGTCATCCAAAGTCTTGAGAATCTGTGACTGCCACAAGCATCAGCGTTTGGCATCATTGAGAAACTCTCAGAAAGCAGGCTGGTTCTGGAGTGGAGCAGAGAGGAGGCTGAGAAGCAAAGCACAGACAATGGTGGAGCTGAGGGCTGATCCAGTGTGGAGGGCAGGGACCCAGAGGTAGTTCTGAGTTAGTGGCAGTTGACTGGAAGCAGTTGATGGGCAGGGCGGCAGGTAGAACCCAAGACAGTTAGAACAAGCCATTTCCACAGCAGCTGGCTCTTTATTAGCTGGAAAGTGCAGCAGGCCACAGCCAAGGCTTATGTGGAGGGAAGGTCATACAAATATTGGACTGTTGACTCTTCCAGACGCTTTGTGCTTTAAAATTTCCCATCCACAACTTTGGTGTTGCAAAGTCCTGAGAATGTGGAGGGCTGGAGGGGCCAGAGCACTCCTGCCTTGGTGGCAGGTGTGGGAGGAAGTTTGCTCTGGAGGGGCAGCAAGCAGGACAGGGATGGGGTGATGTGGGGAGGACAAGTTTGCTCTCTTCTCTCTTCTCTCTTCTTCCATGGTCAGGCTGGCCATCTGCGATTACAACACCACTGAGCCGATAGAGCAGAGGCGCAGATAAGTCATTTCTAGGGAGGCTTGGCCTAGGCAGCAGCATCTGTCAGGTGTGTTTGACTTGACAATAACGCTGGCCCCTATTCCCTCTGAGCCTGGCTGAAACGAGGAAAGAGCAGGGGGGGGGAGTTCAACCGCTGTTTCCCAATTCTCACAGCCATTACTGGGCTCTCAGCATTTCTCAGTTGGGGTGTAGCTACTGCCTTTCTTGGTGGTTTTTCTGACTCCAATCTGCTCTCCACAAAGCAGCTAGAATTAAAACAACAAAAAGCAGTCTGTCCTGGCATTCCTTATTAAAGCTCTGTAATGTCCTCTTAGTTCTGCCCTGATCCGCCTCTCCACAACCCTTGTCTCCAGCATGGTGTGCTGCCCTGGGGCCTGGGATCACCTCTTGTCCCTGCCTCAGACCTCACAGTCTGCTTTCTCATTCTGGACGCTTTTCCTTCCTCTCCCTGAGACTTGGGCCGTCTCGCCCTTCCTCTGGGTCCAGCAAGACCACCGCCTCCTTAGAGGTTTTCTTGTCTGACAGGGCCTCCCTGTGAAGCTCTGTCTGTGCGTCCTGTTAATTCACTCATGGTTCTCATCACCAAGCGTGATGTTTGTTTGCCCCAAGTCTGTTTCCATAGCGGAGGTGGCCATCACATTGGTTCCTCACAAGCACTTAGCACACAGTGTGTGCAGCACCTGTCGATGAGTGAACACGTGGACTCTAGTTTGTTTTCTACAACCTACCCTGTGTTCTGCCAGAAGACTCCACTTGTGTGTTAGTCTCTTGCTTAAAAGTCTTGGTAGCTTTGATTTTTATAGGCTTGAATCTACAGCGTCTCAGTCAGGCTTTCGAGGAATGCAGGCAATTCTTACCACTGTGGCCCAGGTGGGTAGCATCTGCACTGTCCCCCAAACAAGCCAACTTTTTCTGGATCATGTTCTCTGGCCATGCCTTTTCCACACTGGACTCCCCTCTCTTCCCTCGACAAGCCTTTTGCTTCCAAACCTTGCCCTCTGATTTCTCTTCCTCTGAATTATTTTCAGGATTTATTTTGAGACTTAACTTTTGTGACTCGATCATATACCTTTTATTCATAATTATTTTTATGAGTGTCTGTACGTCTGTTTTCCTGCAAATACTTTATGTTCTTAAAGGGCAGAGACTATGGATTTTGTACTTTTCACAGTGCCTTGCAGGCATTTCTTAACTTGAATTAATTTAGGAAAACAAAAAAATAATAAAATATGTGATTCCTGCTAGAATGTAAGCACAAGTGATTGCATGAGGGCAGTGATTTTTTTTAAACTGCTTTGATCACTCTTATGTTTCTGGAGCCTTGAGTAGTGCCTGGCATGTTAATAAATATTAGTTTAATGAGTTAATCTTTTAAAATATGATGGGGAAAATATCCTTATTCCATGAAGCTTTCATATTTTCTAATAATAAAAAAATCAACATGGAAGTAATGCTCCTGACTTGTCCTAGTGAGTAGTTTTGCGTTATTTGGATGTTAGCCATAATTTATCTGCTGATTTCTACCATATTGAATTCAGCAAGTTATCTGCTAACAGGATTGATTTGCCATTTCATCAAAGAAGTCAATGAAAAGGTCGTATTTGAATTATAGAAATTTACAAGGAAACATTTCAGGGACACAGTCCTTGGGGAAAGTGGCATATAGTTAGCACAATTTGGAGCAAGGGGCAGTGGGTTATGTGAGGTGGAGCTCTGGTCTGAGTCAGGAGACATGTCCCAGGCTGAGTTTTGGGGTTTTCTGTGGCTTTGGACCAGGAACTTAACTTCTTTGGCACTTGCTTGTCTCATAAACATGAGGGAGTTATATTAGGTTTCCTGTAGTTTTAACCTTGGGGGGCTACCTCGTGTATCTTCTAACTAGTTCCCTCAGATGCTGATTTTGTTCTGTCAGCTCCCAAACTGTATTTGCTGTGATGCAACACACTGCTTACCAAGGAATTCCTTGCAACTGGGGTTGATGCATTTTTTTGTAAATGTTTAAGAACAGGTTTGGTGCCACATCTTGTGCCCCAAAACTGCCCAGTGAAGTGGAAAAAGCCCTGGTTCTCAAGTAAGAGACCCAAGTCAAGTGTAAGTCTCCATTTTCGTAAGTTTGATAACTGAGGCTTGGCCATTTCACTTTACTTTCCCGAGTGGTAAATGGGGGTGATCTCATCAGTTTCTTCTGCCTTAGAGGCTTTTGTGGGGATCAAATGAGGTTATGTATGGGAGAGTGCTTTTATAAAATGCAAATAGTTACATGGATAAAGGTCCTATGTTTAATAATTTAATATATAAATGGTATGCTCTCAAATCATCTTCTCGAATGTTTTATCTGAAGTATTTTCAAACCCACTCAGTTTTCTTTCCTGTCTCACTTCTCAAAATCCCCTCAGCTTGCTGTCTTGTCAGGGAAAAAAAAGAATGGAAAATTTTCTAAATCCTGATTACCTGCTGCCTTTAGCAGACCCCTTGGGTTTGAAGCTGGAAGGGCTCAATTCCTCCTAGTTAGAAGAGGTCATGGTCAATGAATACTTGCTAAGTGATGATTTGACTGCTAACTTTCAGGTGCCCTCCCTGAAACACAGACCCCAGAGAAGAGGCTTGCTTTTTGAACAGAAATAAAACCAAATCCTGTATTTCTATGTATAACCAGAAGTAAAATAAAATAAAAATAAAGTTAAAAAGCCCTATTTGTAATGTATAAACACAACTGCCGTCTGTGGAGGGGAACTTGGTGCGTCTCGTGCGGAGGACTCGAAGGTTTTCACGTGTGGCCCCAGTCAAGGGAATGGAAGGCTGGGTGGCTCCACATTAGGAGTGGAAAGGGAAGACTTGAGAACACCAGGCTGGATGCTGTATGAGGGGAGATGCTCTTCCCTCCCCCTCCAAGAGCCAAGGGGATGAGACAGGACTTACAACAAAGGTAAAGTCCAGTGTGGACTTTGAAGTTTCTCGTCAGGATCGGGGCCAACACTGGTATTCCATGTTCCCAGTGGAATAATTTGTAAAGTCCACATTGCTCACCAATGCTTTTGTGCACGTTGGTTCTTTTGGGGAAGCTTGGAGAAAATGTTAAATTTCATGACTTGAGTTGATGGGGTATGAGGGGAGTGGGGCTGACCCTGGTGGGGTGAGGAGCACAAGGGACTGAGAGCAAACTCATCCACAAAGAAGGAAGGGTCTGGGAGTCTGCAGAAGTATTAGGAGGCTTCAGTTTTCAGTTCGTGGGGATGGCGGCGGTTGGGGAGGATGTGAAGTTCAAGGTTCTTCTGTAGGGTTCAGGCTTCAGAGGCCAGGGAGGACTCTGCACATGTAAAAAGCTACCTTTTATTAAGGCCTCTCACAGTCGCTCTTGTTCTTCAGAGTTTGAAAGAATAACAAAGTCAGGGAGGTTATCAGTGAGGAAGCTGGACAAGAGAGGAGTTGAAGGGCTCCCAGTGTCTGCATCACCGATGTCCTGATATCTGAAACCCTGTGGGAACCACTAGCATTTTTTAAGGCTTCAGTCCCCGCCAGCTTCAAAGGGCAATTTCAATCTCACTGGTTGAGATTTTGCCTGTTTTTTGTTTTGTTGAGGATGGTCTAAATGTGCCCTGTGCTCTTAGCCCAGACCTGAAGGTACCCAGCTGAACAAATGAAAAGATAGTGGATGGTTAGGTGAAATTTGTTCCTATGCAGTTGTTTGCCCCTTCCCCATCCCTGTGGTCATCACTGAAGACTTTTGCCCTGCTTGCTGCTGGCACCACTACACCCCTGTCTTCATTTTCAGTGACTTCTACATCCACGACAGCAATCCATTCTATACCTGTACTTTTGGTCCTTGACCTCCTTGCCTCCTGTTGCAAATATTGTTGACATTTTCTCCAGCGGTCATTTCTTCTACACTGAGTAACACTAATACCAATAAGTAAAATGCAGATTGTTCAGGTCTTCTGATGCACATGGGCTCAGAGAAAGTAGGCGCATTCCCAGGGAATGAATCATGACTGGAGGAAATCAACCATGGTCCTCCCCTTCTTCTTTGCTAGGATTAGTTGAGTGCGAGGAGGGCATTTGACCCACTTGTGAACACTAGGGCCTGAGCAGGTGTCTGCTGTAGGAGGCAGGTGGTGTTTGGGAAAGTTTTGTCTCTTTAAAGAAAGGTGGATGGTAGGAATCAGTCATCATTCTCTGCCTTTGACCTGGTAGGCTGAGTATGTGATGCTAGCAGCTGTAGCAGCCAAAGTGAGCCCATGAGGAAAGAGGTAAAGAGAATCCCAGAGGAGCTGATGCCAAGGCTGCCCCTGCTGACAGGGTGCATTCATCAACCCTGGAGCCTCCTTGGTGAGATCATAACCACCTGCGCTGAAGCCACTTTGGGCCAGAAATTCTGTGACGTGAATCTGAAGGTGTCATAGCTGATCCATATCATCTCCAGAATAATCTAAATATCTAAATATTTCTTGTGCCGATTCTACTTTCTAACTGCCAAAATGTGTGTTTATCCTGATAAGACATAGGCCATTGTAGGTCAAAGTCATACCTCCTTCCCTTTGTATCCTCCAGTGTCCTAGCATCTTGCTTGTGCTAAACATGTGTCATGAATAAAAGTGTGTGATGAATGGTTTACAATTTGGGCCATCAACAGAACACAGCCCTTCACCCCTACCAACGTATTTATTAATGTAAAACAAAACAAGCGAAAAACAACAGGGAGATCAAGAACTAAATGATTCAGTGTACTCTGTGTGGTCACTGCTGTGAAAGCAAGCCAGAGGACAAGTCTAGGCCTGGCCCAGAGGAGGGTGGATCCTGAAGATGAAGGCCTGTGGTCCCCGCATCCCTGCAGATGAGCTTCTCATGGGATAAGCCAGTAAGGTGCTGGCAGTTGTTCAGGCAGCTTCTATAATCTTAATGCACACACCCTCTCCTTCCTCTTCCTTAGAGAGCTGTGCACCCATCCTAAGAAGACTAGTCTCTTGTCTTCCTTGAGCCCTGGTGTGGTCATGTGACTAAGTTTTGAGTTGAAGGGCTGTGTGGGATTTCTGAGGAGGATCTGGAAGTGAGGCAGCAGCCCCTTTGCTGCCATCTCTCCTTCCTTCTGCAGGTGTGGAGTGCATGCGTGATGGCTGGACCCCCTCAGATGATGCCTTGGGGATGGAAGCCACAGAAGGTGATGGAGCAAAAAGATGGAGACAGGGCCCTAATAGAGAATCTAGACTTCTTTCCATGAGAGAGAAGAATTTCACTTTCTTTTTTCCCAGTCATTGTTATGTCTGCATTTTTTCATATAAAGATGCACTGATCCCCAACTGATCCAGGGCCCCTTCTCAACTCCACGACTCCCCAGGGAGGGGGCCTGCTAGGCCTGCACCTCCTGAGCAACTGCTGTGGTCCTAGGAATGGGGCTCCTCACCTCCCACACTCACAACTCCTAAAGGCCTCTTCTCTTCGGCAGTTCCCAGAACTGGCCCATCTCCTTCACGCCACTGGGCCTCTGCAGGTGCTCCTCCTTGCCCTGGAGTGTCGGCCTCCTGGCTAGCCCTGCCCAGCATTCCACTCTCAGTCATCTCCTCCAGGGTGCCCTCCTCGCCCCCCACTAGTTCTACCCTCCTGCCTTCTTCACTGTCCTATCACACTTGTGATCACGTATGTGTTTGTGGATCCATCTGATTATTGTCTCCCTTCCCCATGCCATTGAGCAACCTGAAAGCAGGCAGCTCTGTTTTGTTCCCCTCTGTATCCCCAGTCCTGAGCACGGTCCCTGCACACAGAAGGTGCTCACACATGCCGAGTCATGATCTCAGGAGCCTGCAGGTTTCTGCTTCTGTGAGGGTCAAGATGCTCCTTGTCAGCACAGGCAGTGCCAAGCAAGGGTGTTGGCCTCAGTCAGAAGGCGCTAGCATGAATTTTCTACCCCTTTCTTATTGTATAATCTCAGGTAGGTGACCCCTGTGGCCCTGAAAATGGTCATGATGAGAGACCCAGCTCCCGGGGCTGTGGGGAGAATTCTGTGAAGAGCACGTGAAAATGCTCGGCTCCCTGCCTGCTGCAGGTCACATCCTTGCCCATCACAGCCCCAAGGTGGACCATACATGTAACTCTGGATTCCCTTTGCCCAGGTCCTTGCTAGCTTGAGAACATTCTTCCACTTTCCATTCTTTGAGGTGGCTGATGAAATTTCGAGGTTGAGGGGCAGTCTACTGGCCTGTCCAGTGCCCAGCAGAGGCTCGGGATGCACAGTGACCACACCCCAACTTCCTGTCTGCTGCCTGGAGATGCCCTTCCTCTCTTCCAGAAGACACAGGCTGGAAATCCTGTGGGGCTGGACCCCAGATGGGTGAGGTTATTAGGGGCGGTGGTATGTAGGGCAGTTCGGGTGCTCGCTGAGAGCTTGAGGTGGGCAGAGATGACTGAGGGCCAGTGGGGAGGATGACATAGCATGGAAGAGGTTCCTGACTGGGACTGACCGTGTGCAGAGTCTGAGCAGATGCAAACCCAGGGGCACCATGTGGGATCTGAGCTCTGTCCCAATTGGCTCGACTACAGCTAAGCAGTGGGTGGGGGAGACATCAAGGATTGGTAGGTGGTCTCTAGATGCTGCTAGTGTGGATGGGCCGTAGGAGAGAGACTGGGGTCAATGTGCGGCACTGGAGGAGTTGAAGTGAGGGCCCTGGGGTTCAGCTGGGACTAGCCAAAAGGCACAAGAGGCGCAGCTGAGAGAGCCAGTCATGCCAGGGCATAGGCAGGCTCTCCTTGGCGTTACAGGCCTTTCTATGTCTGGCCCATAAAAACTCCTGCTCATCTTTAAAGGCTTGGCACACACAGCCCTCCTCCCTGTTCTCCCAATCATGTACATTCCAAGCAGGTCAATACAATCCTATTTAGATTCCACTCAGGGCATTGCAGGTGTCAAGTTGCCACATTGTCTCCACTACTGCCACACCCTAGCTATGTGCAGAGAGGTGTGGTCATAATCTCCATTTTCCTTCAATCCCCCTCACCTTCGCACCCAATCAATGGGAAATCATCATAATCTCCATTGTCCACCAAACCTCCATGGGTGGCATTGTCATAACCTACATTTTTCATCAACCATGTCACCTTCCCAACACTCCATGGGGAAGAATTTTGTCAGATTCTGCATTTTTCATCAACCCACTTTACCCTTCCAACCAATCACAAAGAAGGCACTGTCGAATATGAATAAATATCTGCCTTGGATTGCTATAGAGGTGGCCTTGTGTTTTAATGGGCATTTATTCATTAAGTAAAATTGAATTATTCCATTTTTTTAAAAAGTACATCTTTGTGGCAGGCCATTGGTGCATGTAAAATTGTATTCTCAGAAATGACATTTCTTTTTAACAGATAGTTTATTTCAGAGATGTTTAGCTGAGGAAGGGTGACAGAAGGAGCTCATGCTCCCCTTTGAGTGTGGTTACTACCATGTGCACAGTACACACACACACAAACACACACATACACAATAGCCTCTCATATTTCTTTGAGATAAATGTAATCTTTTTAAGAGACTGCTCAGGTTCTTGTATTGAAAGCTTAAATTGGCCAAAATAATATGTGGATTTTAGAGCACCCCATCAATGTGGAAGATCTAGAAAATTTTTGGGCTGAATTTCAGGCTTGCTCATCCTCCATGAATAATACTGAAATCTGAATGATCTCTGAAGACAAGAAGTGACAGAG